CACTGCCTTCTCCCCAGTGACAGGCGGTTGGCTCTAAAGTGCCCCGGCCGCAGGCTGGCATCACCCTCGAGCCGGCCGGTGCCGAATGACCACGCTCAGACCCATTTCCCTTCCTCCCACCGTCCTTTTTCCTTCCCTCTCTTCTTCACCGCAGGAAATTCCGTCGGAACTTCATTCCGGCGGAGCCGAGCGGCCCTTCCCGGAGCCCCGGCACACAGTCTCCCGACAGCAGCGCCCCCCGTGCCTCCGCCCCAGGCGACCGCCGAACTCGGCAACCCCAGGCCCGGCGCCTCACCTCCTCCTCGCTCTCGCTGCGAAAACACAAGCACGCGGCCCGCTTCTTGTAGCCGTCGCCGTCATAAGTGCGGGTCTGGTTCGACTTGAGCTTCATCATCCTCCGGGCCCGGGTGGGGGTGCCGTGCGGGTCGCGGGAGTGGAGGGTGGGAAGCCCGTTCCGGACGGCCGCGCGCTCGCGCGCGCGCCCCCGACTCAACCAAGGGAAGGAGGGGGAGCCGCTTATCCGCTACACAGCTCCGCCGCTGGCCCGCCGCGGCCTCCTCATTCCCCCCGTCCCCGGCCCTGCGCCACCGTCGCCTTCACGGCTGCCGTCCCCAATGCTGCCACTGCCGCCGCCCCCTCTGCCGCTACCACCCCCGACGACGACCGCGCCGCCATCTTGGGCGCGCTGCGTCAGCGGCGTAAAGCCGCGCCGGCCTGCGGGACGGCCACGCGCTCGCAGCGCAGACCGCGTTCGGGAATCGAACCCTCCCAGTCCGCGCGGCGTAAACGAGCGCTTGAAATGAGCGAGCCGCGCGACTGGAGGCGGCCGCTACGCCAAGAGCGTAGGGGTGGGGTTGGTACGGCGCGCACGGAGGAAGCCGGGGGTGAAAGGGATGCGGGAGCAGGGGCTGACCATCCTAGCTGAGGAACGGGCCCAGACGGAGACGCGGGTATCCAGCCGTGCTGCTCGGCTGGAGGGAAAGCGGGACATTCCCAAGGTCACGCCAGGACCGAAGGTCAGGCCGCCCGAACCTCGGCCTTGCCTGTCCATCTGGGAGGGGGTGGGGGAAGGTCTGGAGGAAAAAGTAGGGTGCAATTAAACGCAACAGAGTGCAACCCGAGATGCCCGGAATTAAGCACTGCAACGAAATAGGTGGAGATGGAGAGGCAGGAACGTAGCGGGGCGGTGCACGTTTCACTGACAACCATACGCGCTGGAAGTCTTATGCGCTGGGGCATGTAGTCCATTAGAAAGAACAAATGTTTATCCTGCAATTTTTATTCGTGTAATAAAGCAAATGCTTCCTCTTAAGGTAAACACGAGGGCCAGTAACACACACACACACACACAATGTAAATCATAAGGCATCATTTCTGGCAGTAAATGAGGAGTATACATTGCGGATGTCAAACAAATTCACCAGGGAAATATATACAGCCAGACACTCTCTAGCAAGGAAAAATGGAGTAAGACCTCTGAATGTAATCAGCAGCCCAGGCCAAACCTAATGTGCCAATGCCTCAAACATGTCAAAAATCCTGTGTAGGATTTGTCTGTAAATTGCTTATTACCCTTTTTGAATTTGCTTGTATTTGGCATAGTCAAAAAAGATCAGGATTTGAAACCAAACAAACCTCGGATAGAATCTCCATTATATCATTTATTTACCTCTGTAATACAGATAATAAACCTACTTGGCACCTGTCACATAGCAGGCACCAGTACATTGCAATTAGTATTATTGACATTTCACTCAACCCTTACCACATGAGATGTGGAATCTCAGTTAATTTTGGTGAGTCCTCATAACAGAATTCACAAATCTTGGTCATTTTAGTTGTGTTTCTAGCTTTCTTCTCTCCATTATGTCTCTAAAAGAACTCTACAAACGAAAGTTCTGATTGTAGAAATACTATAATATACACATTGTCAAAAATTTGAAAAATACAGAGGGCCCAAAAATACTAAATCATGGATATCTTTGAGCACATTCTGTAGAGATCTGTATCCTGCTTTCTCTCCATGTCATTAAGTTTTTTAAATACCATTTCTAATTACTTCCTAATAGTCCATTATAGGGATGTTCCATCAATTATTTTACCATTTTCCCATTGGTAGGTTAGGTTGTATCCTCTGTTTCTTTAGGACAGCAGTGAACATCCCTATATATAAATCCTCTGTATCTCAGATAGTTCAAGATAAATTCCCAGAGGCAGATCCAAGGGGTAGGAATATGTTTATGGCTCTTGCTGCCTGTTACCAAAATTTTCATAGAAAAGTTGTAGGAATACAATCACACTAGCAGCTGGCCAGCTACACTGTACTATCTGCCACTTTCCTAAGGTTGAGAGCAGAATTGCAAATGGCATTTCAGATTTCAGTACATAAGAGTAAAGATAATAAGCAAGTTAGATTGTAAACTGCCTTGAGGGCAGTCTTGTGTCATTTGCCTTCATATCTCCATCTCCAAACACAAGGCCTTGTCTAAAATAAGAGCTCAGTAAATGTTGATTAAAAAGATGGATAGAGGTTTTCATTGGTTTCTAATAACTTCCTCAGCTTTTATAGGCCTATTTAGTCGAAAGAGCCCACACATCAGTCTCAAATCTCTTGCCTTAGTAGGAATAATTATTTTTTCTTGTTCAGAAGACATTAACCAAGGGATTCCAGCCTTTCCTGGAAGACAATGGTTAAATACCACATTACATTTAAATTCATTTTTAAAATTACACATTAGTCCTCCATTATCCATGGTTTTGCTTTCTGCAGTTTCAGTTACCTATAGTCAACTACATTTGGAAAATATTAAATGGAAAATTCAAAAAATAAATGTTTTAAATTGTACACCCTCCAGAACGTGAATCATCCCTTTGTCCACTGTCTCCACGTTGTGTACACTTACCCTCTGTTAGTCACTTAGTAGCTGTCTGGATTATCAGATTAACTTATGGTATAGCAGTCCTTGTGTTCAAGTAACCCTTCTTTTACTTAATAATGGCCCCAGAATGCAAGAATACAGCAGATCCTCAAATAATATCCTTTCATTATAACGTTGCTGAGGTACAAAAGGAACTTAACTCCCGTTTATATCAATTAGCCTATATAAAATGGTTTTGTTATGTATCTTTTTGCTTAAAGTCACAGAACGACTTTAAGGGATGACTTGCTGTACCCATACTGGCAATTCGGATATGCTAAGAGAAGCCATAAAGTGCTTCCTTTAAGTAGAAAGGTACTTATGTACCATATAGCAAAAACATTGAATATAGAGTTTGGTACCACCTATGGTTTCAGGCATCCACTTGGAGTCTTGAAATGTATTCCCCACAGACAAAAGGGAACTTCTGTACTGATTAAAGTATTATTCCATTGGTCTACAGCCATGCTACCCTGAATGTGCCCAATCTCATCTGATCTCGGAAGCTAAGCAGGGTCAGGACTGGTTAGTATTTGGATGGGAGACCACCTAGGAATACCAGGTGCTGTAGGTGTAAAAATAGATAAATAAGTACATTATTCCAGTTAAATACTTCTTTGTAACTCCTGCAACAAATACCTAATATGTAAAATGTTGCCTGTTTCCTTATGACCACAGTAAAGAGGTATCTCTTCAGTCACCTAAGCCAGAAACCCAGGAGTCATTGATGTATCTCTTACCTTCTGTTGATAATAAACTCCATTGCTTCTGCCTTCTTGACATCCTCAACCCCAGACCCTTCTCTCCTTGTCTTCTGCCATTATTTCATTAAAATTCTCCCTCTTGCTGCTTCTTGGCTCCCATCCAGACCTCCCTTCAGCCCCATTCACCCACTGCAGCAAGAGGAATCCTTCCCAAATACAGATCTAGGTCATGGCCTTGATTAAAACCCACAGTTGCTCCTCAGTGCTTTGAAGTCAAAATCCAAATTCTTCCAGGATATACAAGACTCTGCAGGAGCTAGCCACTGCCAACTTTACCCTATAGTCTAGTCATTCTGAACTACCTAGTTTCTCGAACCTCTAGACAACCTTCCAAGTTTTGAACATGCTTCCCTGTTATATGGAGGGCTCTTCTTCCGAGACCCTCACACACTGCATTGTCTCTGCCCTCCCACCCAGAGAGGCCAAATTATATTCGCAAAACTAAGATTAAAAGTCACCTCTTCCTGAAAGCCCTCCCTATTGCCTCTATGCCTTCTATTGACCTGGGTTTGTCCTACTTTATCACGTTGTCACACAGTGTTGTCATTGTTTTCTTACCAATCTCACATTTCAGACTTTTTTCCCCCAGGCTTTATTGAAATAGATAATTAGTTGCTTCTATTTACATTGTACAATTCAATGAGTTTTTTTCAATTATAGTTGGCATACAATATACTAGTTTCAGCTGTATAGCATAGTGATCAGCGATCCACATAACTTGGAAAGTGATCACCCTACTAAATTTAGTACCCCTCTTCCCCCTTATTACATTATTAACCATCTTCCCCATGCTGCAATCTACATCTCCATATCTATTCTGCATTTATCCATTTGTACCTCTTAATTCCTTTGCCTTTTTTTGCTGTCCCCCAACCCCCCTCCCATCTAGTAGCCCTCAAAATATTCTCTGTATCTGAATTTATTTCCACTTTTGTTGTTGTTTAGTTTGTTCTTTAGATTCCACATGTACGTGAAATCATGCAATATTTGTCTTTCTCCATCCTTCCCATTTCATTCAGCACAATACCCTCTATGTCCATCAAGGCAATATCTTTTTACATCTCCTTCCTTTTAGTCTGTGTGTCTTTTAATCTGAAGTGATTAATCTTGTAGGTGGCATGTGTAGGGGTCTTGTTTTCTTATCCATTCAGCTACTCTATCTTTTGGTTGGAGCGCTTCATTCTTTTCCATTTGAGGTACTTGTTAATAGGAATGTAGTTATTACCATTTTTTATTCCTGTTTTTGATATATATTCTTTCTTGAAGTCTCTCTAACATTTCCTGTAATATTGGCTTGGTGGTGATAAATTCCTTTAGCTTTTTTTTTGTCTGAGCTCTTCAACTCTAAATGATAGCTTTGCTGGATAAAGTACTCTTGGTCGTAGATCCTGGGTTTTCATCACATCAAATATTTTGCCAAGCCCTTCTGTCCTACATAGTTTCTTTTGAGAAATCAGCTGCCAGTCTTATGGGTGCTCCCTTGTAGGTAACTGCTTTTCTCTTGCTGCTTTTAATATTCTTTCTTTGTATTTCACCTTTGGCATTTTAAGTACAATGTGTCTTGGTGTGGGCCCTTTGGGTTCATCTTTTTTGGGACTCTCTGAGCTTCCTGGGGTTGTATGTCTATTTCCTTCACCAGGTTAGGGAAGTTCTCCATTATTTCTTCAAATAGCTCTTCAACTTCTTGTTTTCCTTCAGATACCCCTATGACAGATATTTTTACATTTAATAGTGTCCCATAGACTCATTAAATTATTATAGTTTTGGCTTCTTTTTTCTTGCCATTCTGATTGTCCTTGGCTTCTCCATCCTCTATATAGGTCATTTGATCCTCTTCTTTATTCACTCTCTTTATTCCATTTAATTAATATATTTTTCATCTCAGATAATGTGTTCTTCTTTTTTGACTGGTTCCCTTTTATAATTTCCACTTCCGTTTTTATATTTTATCTCTTTGTTAAAGTTCTCACTGAGTTCATCTACTTTTCCCTTAAATTCATTGAGCAT